GTTATCCTCCGAGCTTTAACTCCGGCTGCCTCCGCCTGCCGCTGTCAGACAAAGAAAAATGAAGCGATGAATTATTAAAGCAGCTTTTTGATCGAAACCAAACAAAGGTTGATAGAAAATGTACCAAGATCCTCGCCCAGGTGCCCAAGGAATGATTAAAGGCCCGAAGGGAACCCAACACCTCCCGCTCAGCCAGGGAGCGGGCCGGAACAACTCACGTTTCAGGTGATGACCCCAGCATTGGCCATCAGCGCTGGATCCGAGGAGACCTGCAAGAAGCAGAGGGCTCCGATGTCACGGCCTGCTTAAGTCGCCTGAAATTACCCGAGTTACCTAGCTACAACGTAATTTAGACACAAGCACACCTCAATACGACAAGGTTCGATAGTCTGACCTGCTGCAGCATGAAATCAGCCGACAGGTGTGGGAAGCCAGAGAGGTTCAGCAGCGACTTACAGCGCAGTAAATGCTGCAAGTTGCTGAGGGAAAACGCCTCTTTGCAAGGGAATCAGGCAGAATTTAAGAGGGATGCTGCAAGGAAAACCAACCACAAGCAAGGGAGCTCTGCGCCAGCTGTTTGCATTACTTCTGGCAGGAGATCGGCTCCTTCACCACGGACTCAGTGGGCACAGAGGAAGGCTGACAGGGCAAACACAAACTTAAACCTGTGCTTGGAGCAAGGGAAATCAGAACCAAACACCTAAATAGTAAATATGGGAAGAGATGGGTGCAGGAATTACAGCCAAAGTGCCAGGGATGCCACTGGAGCAGCAAGGACAACCGCAGCACGTGGCACCCGCGCTGGCTTCCACCTTCCTCTTCTCCACCTAAGAGGGTGGAGAAGAGGAAGGGCAACCCAGAGCCTGGTGGCAATTTCTCAGAGGAAAGCAAAGCCACTGCTGGCACTAAACTGCAGCCAGACCGTAGCAGCTCTCAGCTGCAAAAGGCAGAGCTAAAGGCAGCTCTCAGCAGTGCCTGGAAGCGACGCAGGGCTCGGAGCAACGACCTTCCCCTGCCTTCGTGGAGGACAGCTGAGGACGAGTAGAGCAACAAAAGCTGGCACGCTTGAGACTAGAAACAAGTGACAGGCATCTTCTCACCCCATAGGTATCCACGCAGCTGAGCCCATAAGTAAGCCTCATACCCACAAACACCTCCAGGACTAGAACTGCAGCACAAGTGATGCCCTCTGGAAGCTCACGATGCAGCTGACCTTGAGTTAGCAACACGGGCTGCAGCTACACCGCACAAAACCAGGGCACGCCGCTCCTCTGGCCACCTCAGAAGTGAGCACTTGCATGAGGTAAACCAGTTACTTCTGCTGCGGCTTCATCGGATAAGGCATGTGGGCCAGTAGGCTAGATTTAAGAGTCGAGCAACTCCCTGGGTGCAGCATGAACTGGAAACAGAGCGAGCTGGTCGAGCAGCTCGAGCACCGCTTTGACTCGCGCCGTGTCTCCGGTTGCAAAGCGCAGACGACGAGATTCCTCAGAAACAGGCGAGAGATGAACAACGATCATCAGCAAAGCGCCATATGGCTTGAGCAAGCACCGTGTGAAAACAAGATGAGTGGAAACAAGCATTACGTGCTGTTTAAACACAAGTCGCTCGCAGTTACCATGCAGCCACGGGGCTGTCTTGAAAACCTGCATGCTCCATCACCCCGAGGACGAGAAACGGTCAAGCTACTTTATTTTTGTGGAGAGATGAGCTGTTATAAAAAACGTGCTAGGAAAATCTCTCTCCCCCTCATTTTATTATGTGAAAATTAAGTATACTGAAGCGACTTTTACTCGGGGGGAACAGTCCAACGCTGGAAGAGGGGCCCGGAGAGGCTGTGCCATCTCATACCCTGGAGATGCTCAAACCTCAGAAGCTGGAAGCCCTGGGAATCCTCACTGGGTGGCTCTGAGTTGTGCAGGGGTTTGAGACCGGAGGTTGCTTCTGGAAACCCTCAGTTCTTCCGCTCCTGTCAGCAGCAGATTCCAAATTCCTGCCTGAACTCACCGCCTCAGCTTTCAACGGGAGTCTCAGCACAAGCTGGAGAAAGCCCCTCTGGGTTGTACTGGAGACCTTAAAGCGCTGATCAAGAGTTAACCTCTGGGTAAAGAGAGCTGGGGGAAGAAACCTGTTCTGGGAAACTCAGCTCTTCCAGGGAACCACGCCGCCAGGACAGCTCATCTGCTCCAGGCACAGCTCGCTCCTGCAGGAGCTGAGAGGGGAGCTGAGGCTGCTAGGTGGTGGGGAGCCTTCCACATCCATGAGCAATTAGACAGCACAGAATATTTTTTCCTTCTCCATTTGGCACTGCTTTAACCATGACTTCCTGTGGCCACAGCAAACACTGCTGAAGACGCTTCAGATACCAGGCTGCGCACCAAACCTGTAGAGGGGACAAGATGAAACTCGAGCTCCTTGAAACATGAGCAAGCTGCCCGGAGAAGACAACCCACGTCTAGAACGTCGGTCACAAGAACCAATGGCAACCTTTGGTGAATTAATACTTGCCTCAAGATCCTCTCTAAGCTCCTTGAAAACCCGTATCTGTTCAAGGTGATGAGGTTCTCCCATATACACAGTAATTATAGATGATGATAAATCTGCGAGTGGCAGCCTGCCAAGGAAGAGTTTTGCTCATTAACGAAACAAGTAGCTGTGCCTTAACACAGCTTTCCAGCACAGAGGTGATTTCCAAGTCAGCCAGAAAACTTAGCCAAAAAAAAAAAAAAAAAAAAAAAGGACAATCAAGGGCAATTAAAATGTAGAAGAAAACAAGGGGCTACTCAACCTTCCAAGTGCCAGTCATTCCCGAGCAATGAGAAAGTCAGGAATATCCTGCAGATGAGTCTCCTGGCTGCAGAGGGCCAGCAGTGCTCCAGGTGCTGCCATGCAATTAGGTGCCAACTATGCTAATTGAAGCACATGCCCCGTGCCCCCTGCCATGCCCTGGGCACCAGCCCTGCCAGTTCCCAGCTGCATTTGTAGCTATTCAAGCACTGGCCTGCAAAGCATGTCTGTCTTTGTCAGAGACCAGCCTGCAAGCACCTTGTGGAGAGAGAAGAGCTGCAGGAGAAGGGCCCCAGCCCTAATCCCTGGGTTTCAGCGGTCAGGAAAGGCAGCACTCAGTGTCTGCAAGGGAGGAGGCTGCCTGGCCAACTGGCTTGCTGTGCAACTCCCAAACCCCCACATCCCACTCCACGTGAAGGTTTTGCAGGGTAAATTATAAAAATTACTCAGCTATGCCCATTTTCCACAGGTTCACAGTAAGGAACACGAAGCAAAAGCCCGCATCCTGCACAGATGCTTCTCAAGCAGCAAGATCTGATACCTTCACTGATTCAGCAGGGATACAGGAGGCTTTTAAGACTCAAAGTTGTTTGGAAAGAATCCCAGGTAGAAGTTTTAATTCAGAAAACCATCCCCGTACAGCCAAGGGGGCAGCAAACAGGCGTTCTCCCACCTCCACTCTGCTCCGGAGCCCTTGCAGGGCTTTAAGAGATCAACTCCACAGACACGCACACAAAAAAAAAAAAAACAACCGGGCAACCTGACAGACTTTCTGGTTTCTGTTTTTTTAAGCCAAGCAGTGAGCAGCAGGAAATTCAAATGAAAAGAAACGCTTCAGCCTGCAACTAGATCAATACACACAAGGAGGCCGCTCAGGCAGCAGGGCACACGGCATTTCGATTGAGGTGACTTTTCGTGCACAAGCCAAATGAAGTTTTTCTCACCTTCCTCAAACCAGCCCTGAGTAATCAGCAGCTAAATCAACAAGGCCATCCATCAGGACAACCATCTTCCAAATTTAAATTGCACAAGTGCCAAAAGCCACAGAGGGGGGCAGAGCACAGCGAAGCACGGGATTTAACCTGTGCAGCCTTCAGCAGCAAAGACGGAAAAAGAAAATTCTAGCACGCTTCTTCAGAGCCGTGACGAGTACCAAGACCCAGCAGACAGTGGGAAACGGGGCTCACAAAGCAAGACACCTTCCCAGAACTCACTTCTTAAAGACTCTTCATCGGCGCCAAACAACCAGAAGCCCAAGTATTTCTCCAGCAATTTCCTCACGTAAAAGAGGAGATGAAAGGCACTGCCTGACAGCTACAGCTTCCTTGCTCTATTGGCGAGCCAGAAGCAGTACTTATAAGCATAAATGCCCGTTTATAAGGGATTCTCTCACCAGAGCTCTCTGCCATAAGCAATCCCTGTAGACACTCGGGGGTCGGCACTGCCTCCACGTAACAGCTGCTCTGAGGAGCCTGGCAGGTATTTCTTCCATTTGTTTAAGGAAAACTTTCCCGTGTTCTGTGATTTTTGCACTCCGGGCTCACAGCTCGGCTGACGTGGCTCCCGCCAGGCACCACCACCAGCCCGAGCGGTGGGGATGCTCACAGCAACCCTCCCAAAAAAAACACCCCGCAAACCTCCAGCATCATCTCTCCAGGTCCGCACCTGACACCACTCCACCTTATTTCCCCGGCTGCTTTCGCTTGTTGTTTCCACCAAAATCACCTCAGATTGCCTCAAAACAAACCCGCTGGCGCAAAGCTACGATAACCGCTAGAGAAAGCCACTCGGTCGCTCGTGACAGGCTTGGCCCCAGTACAAAATAAATAAATAGATAAATAAATAAATAGATAGATATATTCTGTCAGGGTTACGAGCGGAGCATTGAACCTCATCAACTGACCCTGCAGCAGGGCTCGGGGCCGAAACCGAGCCGGGCCGGGCCAGGCCCCCGGGGTCCCCCCCTGAGTCCGGGCGGGTTGTGGGGAGCCCAGCACGGAGCTCCCCGGGCTGCGGCCTGCCCAGAGCCGGGCCCAGCCTTGGGGTCGGGGTTTGTGGCCGCAGCCAGCCCGGTTTCCATCCCCGGGATGCCGTGGGGGAAAGCAGAGAGCCGGCTCCTTGGCCAACCCTCGGGGAGAAGCCCTGAGAAGGGCAGAGCGCAGAGCGGCTTCCCCAGGGCAGCCCCCAGCTCCCAAACGACCCCGTCCCGGTACCTGTAGTAGCTGAGGAGCCCGTTGCTGAGCACGAACCAGCGGCGCTGGTAGCCCTTCAGGTAGTTGGTCCACTTGAAGAGCCAGCCCTTGTAGGTGTCGGAGCCCGGGGCTGCGGGCGCTGTCCCCGCCGACCCCCCCCCACCGCCGCCGCCGCCACCCCGGCTCCCCGCTCCCGTCGCCGCCGCTTCGTTGCTCATGGCTCGGCGGCCGGAGCCCGGCAGCTCGTGGCAGGCCAAGCAGGGGACGGCGCTGAGCAGCGAGACCAGCCCGCGGGTGCTGCCGCTGCACAGCGCGGCCGCCTTCCCCATAGACCCCGCGGCTCGGCCCCGCTCCCCTCCGCTCCGCTCCGCCGGGCAGCGCTGAGGGAGGGGAGGGGGGGGGGCGGCACCGCCGTGCGTCACGGGCCGGGAATGAAGAACGGGGAACGGGAACGGCAGCCCCCTGGCGGTGGGGCCTCAGCGGCTCTGTTTTAGGATCGGGTCGGGATCCAGGAGGGATCTGGTTGGGATCCACTCAGCCCGGATCCCGCCGCCCCCCCCCCGCCATTTTGCTCCCGCCGCCATTTTGCGACCCCGCGGCCGCGGGCGCCCCCTCAGCACCGGGGCGGCTGTGAGGCACCGGGACCCCCCCCCCCCTCAGCCCCGGGACCCCCTCACCCCCGGGCAGGAGCCGGCTCCTTACGGGGCAAGGAGGAGAGAGGCGGCTGCCCATGGAGCCTGGGCAGCTCTTTGTAACAGCCCCGGAGTGACTGGGAGCATCGCAGCCCAGCAGTCCCCCCAAAAACACCTCACCCACACCCTTTAAAAGTGGCTGTAAAAAGAGGGCGGCCCATGGAAGAATAAAAATGTGCAGGGAGACACAAGGAGAGAAGTTCTGTGGTACCCCACAGTCACCAGCTCGGTGCTGGGTGAGGCGGGGGCACCGCCTGCTGAAGCGCCACAAGGAGCTTTGGCAGCCGCTGCCCTGCCCGGGATCTCCTTTCCCTAATCCCGCTGATCTGCTCTGATCCCGCTAATCGCATCACTGCTCGCCGATCACCTGCGCGTGCACCTCTCACTTGCAGCCCTGCTGGCACCAACAGCCCGAATCGGGAGGTGCCACCACCCTTGGGGCCATGGTGGCCACCAGCTGATGCTGGCCACCAACACAGCCGTGAGACTGGCCACCTCAGGCAGCCCAGCCCCTCATCCACCTAAATAAGAGACAAAATAGAGACAGTCAGCACACCCTGTGCTAACGAGCTGCTGTTTGGGGGCTTCAGCATGGCCTTGGTGTGGAGCCCATCCATGGCCAGGGGGAGGAGAAAAGCAAGCTGTGGTGGCACCAACGCTTACACGCCGGAGAGCACCTCAGAAAAAGAAATAAACCGTGGTGATTGAAGCCACCTGAGCCAGGATCTGTGCTGCTTCTGTCCCTGCTGGTGCCCCTGCAGGCAGAAGTTGGTGTTGTGTGACAGCTGGGCCATGGATCTACTGCAAGGCAAGCGAGGCTGTGCTGGAAGGAGGAGCAGGTGGGGTGACATGAGGCCCACAGGGGACCCCACAACATTTACAGGGTCCTAGTAGGCTGGCAGTAAATAAAAGTGTCGTGAACAAGTGCCATTAACACCGGGTGGCCAGTCTGAGGCTGGGCAGAAGAGAGATGCTGAGGCTGGGGCCAGCCAGTGATGAGCAGCAAGGGGAAAAGAGGCTCCCCCAGCCTCTGACACAGGCCTCGGAAACATCTCCAAAAATACAGATTTGGATCCAAGCCTGAGGATCTGGGCCAGGCAGCTCCTAGGGTGAAAAAAGATGTAGCCAAACTCTATCCACTGCTCTGTACAGAGCTGCATCTGCTCTCCTAGAGCTGGTTGAACATTTCCTTGCTTTCTAAAGAGGAACCCCTGAGAGACCTTCAGCCACGAGTGCCAGCATCGCCAGCATGAGCAGATATTGAGACAGCTCATATGGGTAAGTCCCGTGTCTGGAAACAGTCTGAGAGAAATTTGGACTCTAAAGGCTGGAACCTTCCCATCAGGTGTTCTGGGACTGGCACCCGGCTGAACATCTCTCCAGATAGGCTTTGGCAGCTGGAGGTAACATCTGGAGGTTTTAGAGAGACTCAGACAGGAAGGCATCAAAATCAGTGCCCAACAACCACTCTGACATTCTCTGTTAAGGGTTTTTAAAAATATGCCCAAACCTTGGTTTGCCAAGAACTCAAGGGCTGTGGGCATTTGTAAACCGAAGCCCCTCTGGAGATGAAACATCCCTTCTTGGTGTAAACATACCCCAAACTACCCACGTGGGGACCAACTTGTGAAAGTCTCCACGGATCCTGGAATCTCTTCTGGCTGCAAACAAGAGAAGAAACCTCCTCTGGCTGTGTCTGAGAAGGGCTGAGTCTCACCTGATCCTGCCTGCCAGAACCTTGGGTCCAGGTGTGAGTGATCACAGCAGGCACTTGGGATCCTGCACAGGACAGGACACACGATGGCAAAAATCCCATGATTCGCACTGAGTGTGTGAAGGTGTCACAGTGACCCCATACTTTTAACCAAACAAACAATCCAGGGCAGATCTGGCAGGGCCGTGTATTTGGTACACAGGGCACTGCTGTGTCATCATCCCCTCGCTGCAAGCTGAGGCTTTGAGCACCTCCAGGGACTCTTTGCCCAGAGGAAAATGGTCCCTCTCTGCCTTGGTTTGCATAGCACCACAGTCCGTTTGCTGCAGGTACCCATTTATGAGCAGAGGTAGAGAGGCAGACAAGAACTGGGGCTGCTGGGACTTTGCAGCCACCATCATTGCCCTCTCCTGAGAAAAGAGTCTGCAGTGAGGAGCCACTGGTGTCAGGGAGTGCAGCAATGTCACCTAGCACTCTGGATCACAAAACTGTTTACTCTGAGACTTGTTAAATGTGAAGAATATGTGAGAGGAGCTGCCGGGGTCATACTGGTTACATAGAGCAGCCTAGTTCCCCAAGGAAATTAAACACCTGAGACATAGCACTCTGTAACTCTGCCCTTGCACAGTTTCAGCCCTGGCACAGGAGCAAAGAGCTCCACGCTACAAAGTTTCTACCTGGTTACTGAGAATAGGAAGCAGAGGGAGGAATTCAAAAATTGACTCCTGGCCCTGTGAAAGGGAAAGGCTGCAGAGCGCTCTCAGGGCATTAGGACCTGGAGCATCCAGAGGAGAGCGTGATGTCAAAAAGGGAACAGGCATTAAATGGGGCACAGCTTGCTGCTGGGCTTGGGGAGCCACCTGTAGGATCAGGAGCACAGCATGGGCTGGGCTGTGCCATGTCCCACCCTTCGCATGTCCCCTGGTGAAAAATGTGAATTTCCAGCAGTGATACCCTGATGTACACCTCGTGCTGATACCTACACCTCGTGTGTCAGCACCTGGTGAAAGTCAGGGGTGAAGTTCTACACCAGGTGCTGACACACGAGCAAAGTACAGGCAAGGGAGAGAAGCCAGGGATCTGCACTCCTGGCCCAGTCCCTTCACCAGTAGACCTCCTCCTCCTTTTCAGAGCAGCAAAGCTAAACCTAAAGTGGAGAGACATCTTCATGCCACCACTCTGCTAGACCCAATCTAGGAGAGGCAGCTCCACCCCTGGACAGCTGGAGCCTTAATGCAAACATTATCTCAACTCTAATGCATTTATCTGGACGAGCTCAGTCTCAGAGGAGTCAGCAACGTTTCCAGGAGAGGATGGAGGAAAGAAAATAGATTCTGTGATTATTTCTTAGCCTTTGTGTCCTTGCCCTTGCCTTTGCCCTTGCCCTTCTTCTTCTTTTTTGACTTGAAGGTGGACCGAATCAGGTAGCCTCTCCAGAAGGCCTGGATGCGGGTGGCAGCAAGGGTCATGGTGGCCAACTCCTCCAAAGCCTTCTTCTTCTTCTCCTGACGTATCCTGCGCTCCTCCTCGATCTGGGAATACTCCTGGAGAAGCAGAGCGTGTTTCTCCATCAGCACGGACAACTCGGCCTTCTCCTTGGTGTAGGCAGCGTGAACCTCCTCGTACTCAGCCTAGCAAAACAGCAGATAGCACGGAACATTCAGCAGCTCCTCCCTGAACATTATTAAACACCTGGCAAGGGAAGGAGCATGTCTAGCAATTAGCAGCCAGCTCCTAGGCCCCTTTGCCAGTAATCCAGCAGCTTTTACCCATCTCCATGAAAGGGCAGGAACATGAAAGCAACTAGGGCCATCTCAGGGGCAACTTTAGGGGATGCTGATGTGATTCTCAGCCTCCTGCTCCAAAACGACAGAAAGCTTCACAACTCTTCCTCTGGATGGAGAGCTGCCCCTCGCTTCCCTGGCCTCCTGTGTGAGAGCCACGCGTCCATGTGGACGGCGATCTACCTGAACGTGTCACCTCATGGAAGAGCAAAGCATGTCAGAGAGGATACCTGTTTTTCTGCCATGTCTGCGTCGTATTTCTGGACCCAGTTCAGAATTTCCGTCTCTGCTCTGCACTTCCTCTGAAACAAAAAACACCGTGGGTTACCTGCAGGCACTTCAAGTGGAGTGAAAAGCCTGAGCTAGAAAACAGCATCAGAGCTTTGAGCCCCAGCATCGTTATCCTGGAGGAGAACACCTCCTCCTTGTGGCAAGCTCCCTTCAGCTGACGTGTATTTTGCCCCTGGTTTGGATAGTCTCAGGGGACAGACCTCCATCCCTGAGGCCAAAAGCACCTTGTTTGTTTTACAGCACAGAGCTGGGCGAGGGCTGAGGACTGGAACGCGTCTGAGAGGTGTATGGAATGAGACAAGTCATCGACAAACTGGGGCAGCCACCCCAAAACTGAAGCAACAGAGAAATGCTAAACATGAAGGCCCTCCAAATACAGAGCCTCCTAAAACAGAGACATTTCTCATTGTGAGATGGTTCAACAGTGGCCTGACTCGGCAGTTTAACCAGGTTTAACCCCATCAAGAAAAAAATCAGCCAGAGCCTATCACAAGCCACATGATTTCCTGTATGACACTGGCCCAGGATGTCCCAAGGGCTTCCAGGCCATCACGAGGTCAGACACGGCACTTCCCAGCTATTCACCCCGCAATGACAATCTCAGGCCACCCGGGGCTAAAGCACGTGCTACGGAGAGGGAAAGGAGACGTCTGTAGTCAGTAAATCTCCCTGCCTGAGCCGAGCGACTCGTCACGACAACCACTGCAGCAGCCTGCAGGCTCAGAAGAAACCAGCTGATCAAGCCACTGCACTACAGGAGGTGTAAATGGGTGCCTTGGGTTTTGAACTGCAGCTCTGCTTGTATTTGTGCCTTGTCACAGCTGCCCTGTTCTACATTGCCCAGTGCACGAAGGAAAGAGGTCCCGTTACCAGAGCCTGCAGTCCTGTTTGGGGTAAACACCAAGAAGGAGCAAAAATAAAAGAAAGGAAGCTCTATCTTTTTCTAGCTCCAGATTTTCCATGCCCAGTTATCTCCCAAGGCCACCTGCACTCAACCCCGAACACTACAAACAATAAAAGATGTTTTTATGCACAGCCTGGACCATGTTTGCTAGGCTCACCCCACCCCAAACCCCTTGTTTCTTAACACCCGCCTGTCTTGCTGTAGCCTTGCTGCTCTGAACTTTGACTAGAGCACAGCCTCTCCAGCAAGCCGTGTCGCAGCACTACACGCGGGTGTTTCCTGAGCTGGGTCAGGGCACAGGAGGAGGACCCGTGAGCAGGCTGCTTCCCCGGCACCGCTGCAGGCTTGCTTTCCGCTGGAATCAGCAGAGCAGGAGGCCAGCGTCAGCACACTGACACACAGCGTGTGCATCCTGCCAGGAACTAGCAGGAACCAAGTAATTAGTGGCAGAAGGCAGCCGCCAGACCTAACAGCAGTACAACAGGTCTTAAATTTTGTATTCTGGAGCTGTCCTGCCATTCACCTTTCTGAGAGCCAGCTCTGATGCTCGATGCTGCAGCACCAGCTTCTTGAGTTGTGCTCTCAGCTGCTGAATGTCCTGCTGTAGGCTGGCACACTTGGCCCGAGAAGCTTGCAGCTCCTCTTTTTGCTGTTTTTCTCCTTCCCACTTGACCTGCAGAATGTCGGTCTTGCAGTTTTCAGCTAGATCTTGCATGCTCTTTTTGAGGCCTTTGATCATATTGTCCTTTTTCTGAACCTAGACCCAGAAAAGAAGAAAGAAATACCATCAAGACTCGCAGGTGAGGCATAAAGCAGGCAGAAAGCACATTGCAAAGGTGGAAGCGATCTAAGAATAGGGACCTGCCACAGCTGGCTGGGAAAACAATCAGATTTCTACCAGCTTCTCCCCTCTGAGCCTGAGAATAAAGCTGGAGAAGGAAGGAGCCATACCAAGGCCACTGTCACTGAAGTCTTCTCATCTCAACAAGAGCCAAAATCATCCCTCAGGATTCGGATGAGGCTCAGTGACTGTCTGGGAGATGCAGCTCTGTGGGCTGCCTGCAAGAGAAATCCTCAGCTGGGAGCAGTGAAACAGATTTGCTCGTTACGCGCTGGACAAGCTGCCAAACTGCACGTAAAAAATCTCAATTCACAGATCTCCAAGGAGCAGAGGGGATGGGGAGCACGAGACAAAACCTTCCCCCTCTGACCCCTCGCGCAGAAAGGGGAAAGAAAAGCACACACAGAAAATGAGGGACTGCTTGTCAGGAGTCCAGGGCTTGAATTCTGGCACAGCCCATGGGCTCATGGAAAGAGCCTGGCAAATGCCCGTTTATTAATCCATGCCTCAGTTGCCTTCGCTGAAAAAGATGAAGAAATGATACCATCAGATATTAATTACAAATGCTCCAAGGCAGCTAGTATTACTGAGTTGGAAGTCACAGAAATATTGGTATTAAGCAAGAGTGAAGGCAGAGCAGATATTAAAAAAGGATTTTAATCTGAGCAATCTCTCCCCGAATGACTTTTCATCATTTCATCAGCAGTGAATGGAGCCTCTCCCTGGCAGCTGACACTGTGGCCCTGCCAAAACACCACTGCAGTAATTTGTGCCTGTCCTGCAGCTCCTTTGTAAACCCAGTGACTTGTGCCATTTAAGTTGGCCTGCGAGAGCAGGTTCAAAACATGCCAAATGCAAGTTTAAAAATGAAGTATCCAGTAGGAATTTTTAAATTATATTTCACAATGAAATAAGTATCTTTCGATTTAAGATCTGATTTAGAAATCATCTCTGGAACCGCCACTTTCATATCTCCAAGAAAGGGGTCAATCTTTAGCTTATCAAAATTTTGCATCAGTGACCCTTTATCAGGAAACATGTTCTCACACTATTGTACCTCCTCGTCTCGAGTACAGATTGCTGCCAGCAGTTCTGCCCGCGAAGCTGTGACTGTTTCAGTGTTTTTCTTAATCCGAAGGGAGACATCTTCCATGAACCGAACCATTTCTTCCTCTTTTGTGGGATTAGTCAGGAGTCGCTCCAACATGAAATTCCTGAACTCCCTAAAGGCTTTGATAAACACTTCAGCTGGTGGCTCTCGTGTCCCAGCTTCGCATTTCAGAGCCTTACAAATTGAAGGGTTGGCCAGCAAAAGCCTCAGGATATTTCTAACAGAAGACTTCAGCTGCTGTTCAAGCAGGCAGAGAGAGACCCTTCGCTCCTCAGCTCTCACGGCATCCTCTTCTTCAGGGCTGGCAAGCAGGTGCTCCATTTTGCTTGCAAGCTTCTGGTGCTCAGTTAGGTTCTTTGTGATCTCAGGTCCCAGCAGAGCCGAAAACCTATCCAGCGAGGCGAGAATAGGTGGAACCAAGCAGCTCAGCTCCAGCTTGGCAATCGTCTCATCCAAGACAGATATAACCCATTCGGTTTCAATGCTATCAGGTTTTAACCAACGTGGATCTAACATCTTTGTGGCATCCAACGCAGTCACTGCTTTCTTTGCAGTCGCAATGCCCATTATTGGGGGCTGGTTTCTTTCGTTTGTGTCCTGAGAGGACACCTGGAGCTCGGTGGGATTTGCCGTAGCCATACCTTCAGTTAAACACCTGCGGGTTTAGTGTGGCAAGGTCTAGAAGGGACACAACGGCCTCATAGTACAAGAACACAGAGGTCCCTCTGCTGCTTCTGCCAAAAATTCTTCCTTTGTGGGTTTTATTTCTAAAAGGAAAATACATTAAGAGCATTAGAGGAACTACGCAGTTTGGGAAAAGCTGGGAATTTCAGGTTACCCCAGAGTTCTCCCTGGGTCTGTGCACCCAGGCAGGTCACAGGCTTGCACACCAGAACCGGTCTCTGTCCTAGAGAGGCTGCTGAACCCCCAGGACCATGAGAAGACCCCAGAGGAGGGAGGGCAGCCATAAACCCTTGTTCCCCCCCCCACGGCTGGGGAGGAACCCCTCAGCCCCTCAGCACCACCTCAGGAGGCGCGGCCCGGGCCCTGTTGGTCGCTAGGCAACGCGAACGCGGGGGCGGGGCCTCCCGCCTGCCTCCGTGCCCGCCCCTCCTCGAGCCACTCAGCGTCTTCGCTCGCTTGATGGACAGCGCCACTGGCCAATGAGAAGCCTCTCAGCAGCCAGAGGCTGGCCGGGGTGTTGATGGCGCCGGGCGGCCATCTTGGGGCGGGGAGGGCTGGGCGGGGAGGGGAGGAGCCGGCCCCGCTGGGCTCCTCCCAGCTCCCAGCAGTGCAAAATAAAAATAAATAAAAATAAACATAAACTTCGTACACCTGAAATGAGCCTTGCGGCAGTATTAAATAATGATGTAGCTCCTTCAAGGGGGGTGAACGCCAGAGCACTAGCGACCAGAAATCGCCCCAAGTGTGTTGTTAAAGAGGGCTGGTATTACAGGGGCTATACATAATAAATTAACTAATAAATTAATAAATAAACTCCAGAAAATAAAAACGTAACCTAATAAACCCCAGAAGGCGGTGGCTGAGGGCAGCGCTGAGGAATTCCCAGTGAGGCGCTCATGACACCAGCGGTGCCTCAGGGGAAGCAGCAAGCACACAGCAGCCCCACAGCGGCTGTGGGACCCAGCTGAAGCACCCAAACCAGCCCAGCACCTTTATTTCTGTGCACCTTTATTTCTTTATTTCTATCCGCCCCGGACCAGCACCTGCAGCTCTGACAGGGCTGCGGCGGGATCGGAGCCCTGTGTGGGCTCTGTGGTGTCAGCTGGATGTGTCCCTGCCAGCCCTGCTGTCCTTCAGCCCCTAGCGAAAGCACAGAGCTTATCAGAAACACCTTTCAGCTCTCTAATTTGGTGGGTGGGATCCTGTGACCACACTGGATCCAGCCCAGCCTTGCTGTGGGATGAGCAGGAGGCACAGGAGGGCTGGAAGGTAATGGGGGCGGCATGCCCTCGGCTCGATGTTTCCCCTGCCCATCAGCACAGCTCGGCAGAGGGACCCTGGACATGTGGAGAGCTGTCACTGCCTAACGGGGACTTCAGGGCTGAACCCTGACCCCTGTGAGAGGCGAGAGGCTGCCGCCTCCCCTGCGAGGCGTTCTGGCAGTGAAATCCATCTTGGAAAGGATGTTGTTTTCCTTCCGAAGCTGATGAGCCTCTTGATTGCTTCGTTTGAAACGGGACGTGGCTCTCTGAGAAATGCAGGCTCAGGCTTCCTGACAGCCGTGACCTCGAGGGGGGATTGAGATGGACTGCTGAGAGGCTGCCAGCCGCATCCTGCACGCCCCAAGCACACAGCCTGCCTGAGGGACAGAAGGCTTCTTGGAACATACCAGCAGGGGGATGATGGAGAAGCGGTGGGTCGCATCCAAACCTCCTCTAAACTAGGGAAAAGATGTGGAGCACTGCAGCTCGCTCCTGGCCTTGGGTAACTGGAGCCGTCCCAGACTTGCAGAGCAGGCTGAGGGCAGCCCAGCTCATCCTGCAGCGTCACACACCACTGCCGGGAACAAAACCAGGGCAGTGTGGGAGCTGTCACTGAACCCGTGTCATCCCAGCCTCTCAACCAAGACGTAGAAAAATCTCAGATCCATCCTGAACCAATTCCCTACGACCTGCTGGTCCACACGCAGCAGCCTGACTGAGCCACAGTGGGGCTGTCCTGCCTTGGGGGCATCAAACAGGAGCCAAACCATAGAAGTGGAGATCTCATAGCCATGGGATGGGACCGCTGGGTGGCAGTGGGGACAGCAGGAACGGGCAGTGAGGCGTTGCTGGCCTTTGCAGCTGCTGGCTTTGCAGAGCCGGGATGGAAGGAGCTGGTCCCACCACGCTGTCGGTGGCGATGCCCAGGCTTTGCTGAGCAGGGCACGAGCTCCCATTCCCAGCAGGATACGCTGACCCCTTTGCCTTCCTGGTGGCTTCAGGAAGGAGGACAGATTAGGTCCAGGAGTTGTCTCCATGGAGCAGCAGGGGCACAGGAAGTCCTGTGAAGACCTAAGAGCAAAACAAAGGCACAAAGAGCTCTGCTTTCCCTTCGGAGGCAAAGCAGGCGTCACGCAGCCAGCAGGCAGTGGCTAACACTGCTTTGTGGGCTTTTTTTTCCCACCCAGCCGCTTCCTCCTGTGGAGAACAACTGAGTACGCTCGCTTTGTTTTCCTCGTGCTCCACAAGCCTGTCACCTGCCCTGGGGATGCAGGCAGGCGCTGAAGAGCTGCAGTGCTGTGTGGTGACCCACGAGTGGCTGGACCAAACCCAGAAGCCCTTACTCAGGGCTAGCCCAGCCCGTTCCTCCCAGCATCTTCCCACAAGGGAAGCCTGGGACTGGCCAGCACCGGTCACCTCAGGCTCCTCTAAAACTGCCCCGTGCTCTTTGCCTGGTGGCACCTCCTTGCTTTTCACCTCAACACATCTCATTTTGAGTTTCAGTGCTAAAGCCAGCCGCAGTGAGCACGACTGAAGACATTTACTGCCTGTCCTAGCCGGTGACTGTCACGGTGAAGCACAGATCCAGATTTTCCTTTCCATAGAGGGAAAAGGCTGCAGACACAGGGCTGCCAGGCGGTTACCTCTGCTGGGAATTTCTCCTTTCCACCTGGATGTCACCGCTAACAACGCCGCTGGTACTGGGCAGGGTCCAGGCGGCAGCGTGGAGGAGGCAGAGTGCCCACCAGCGAGGTCGAGAAGGAAGGGTCTGTCCACTCAGGTGGCTGAGTCTGGCTGAATTACCTGAAATTCTCCCAAAGAAGAAGAATGAAAAAGATTTTTCATCAAATCAAAAGATTTTCTGTTTTCAGGAGCCAGAGATTAGGGGAAAAGTTTGTTGTTTCACTAAAAACTAGCCTTACAATCAACTGAGAAGACGTTTCATCATCGAGGACTGATGCCTCCAGATTTTGGGGCACTGGACTGTAACTTGCCAAGTGTGCTGTCCTGACACCAGAGGGCTGTACAGCTGCCCTTGGATCCTGTGAAAACTCTCCTTAGAAATCCCAGCCAAGGGGGACAGTTTGAAGGTACTGAGCATTTTCTAATTCAGCGAGGAAGAGACTGAGGATGTGACAGCAATATTCCAGCATCCAATTATTCCCTCAGGGCCACCGGGAAACATTAAAAAAATCGCTCTGCTTCATCTGAAGCGAAAAAAAAAAAAAAAAAAGTTTATGTTAAGAAAATCCCAACACTGCAATGCAGGAATCTGCATTTCAGCAGGAAACTGCTGAAATCACGATGCTTGGGCTTTCTGGCCAGAGCAGGAAGGCAAAGTGCCCTGGCACAGCTGCAGTAAGGTGAGGGGAGAGGTCTCAGGTGGTGCTTGATGGGTCCCGAGGACAAAAAGCCTGGTGCACAGGAGGCGAGAGGAGAGCTGAAGGGGACTCATCAGTGTGTGACTGCCCAGCTCTGTCTGATGACACCCTAAATCCTCATTCTGGATGCATCCCCCTGCTCCTGCAGGAGAGGGTACAGCTAATGAACCCATTACTGCGGGGCTCGGAGTGGGAAGCACTAAAGGAGCAATCAGGCTGCTGAAATCTTGCAAAACCTTTGACTCATCCCCGTTCCTGGGAGGCCACGTGTCAGCACTTCACCCATTTCTCAACATTTAGCTATTTTAGGAATGACATCGAAGTGCAGGTGAAGTCTGACCGACAAGGTCTGTCGCTCACGACTCCAAAACACCGCTGACCTGCAAAGGTCATGCTGAAGGCTGCCTGAGAACCGAGGGCTTCCCCCCAATAACACCCCCAGGCATTTGCTTCTCGCCCTCCCCATGGACAATCCCCAGCAGAGACTTTGCAAAGTCCTGGGCATCTGCATCCGGACCCAGCAGGCTGAAGATTTAAGGTCCAAAGCGATGATTTCATGGTTCTGAGGAACTGAGACCAAAGCGTTTGCCCAAGACATTCCTCCAGCCTCGAGTCATCTGCGGGTCTTGCTGCCAAGGGAGGGGAACTCCCTGTGCTTTTCCACAACACAGCACCCACCCCAAACACAGCCAGGCGGGGGGCAACAGCCCGGGGCTGGGGTGGGGTGGAGGCCGTCACCTTCTTCTCCAGGAGCAGCAGGGCACAGCGGCTGCTGCGGATGGATGATTTGGGCAGGGAGCTGCAGGGGCTGTGGCCTCCCACCTCGATGTCTGAGCCTACAAAGCAGCTTCGGGTGAGAGGGCATCGTGTCACATGAAATGGGGTGCAAGCGATGCCCCCTGGGTCTGTTTTGGGGTGCGAGGAAGGGGACCTGGGCTGGCACAGGTGTGTGTGTGTGAGGGGGTCCCACAACCTCCAGGACAGTACCAGGAGGTCCCACCACCCCTCGCCTGCGTGAGGGGGTCCTGCAGCCCCCAACAACTTTGAGGAGCTCCCACATCCCCACGGTTTGGGGTGATACTCAACATTTACAAGCCCAAAATGAGGATGTGCTGCTGTGCTGAGCGCAGCCTGGCTGCTGGGACGGCTTGCCCGGGAACCGAGGGGAAGCAAAACGTGGATCTGCACCAGAGCTCTGAAATAAACTCTTGTTATCCAACAGGGTTGTGGCGTGGAGGCTGTGCTGCTAAAGGTGTGGGAGATGTGAACAGAAGCTTTGGGGCTTGCTGTAAATGCAGCCGGGTTCCTCGCATTGCTTGTGTCGGGGTCCCGTTGGTAAGTCTGAAGCGAAGCGTCACGTGCTGAGTGTTTGGTTCCAGCACAAACCATGCTTATAAAGCAGGACAGAAACTAGCTGTGGCTCAGGATACTTGGAATGGGACCAATGTTTGCTCTTCCTGAGATACTTCTTTAGGTTTTGACACAACAACCTGAATTCCGGTCATCTGCTGCATTGCAGAGAGGCCGGGAAGCGTGCAGACTCCAGCGCTGGGAGAGCCTGAAGTCCTGAACCCTCCTCTTCCTCCTCCTGCTTCCCCCGGCTGTTTTTTTGGAAGGAGCCCACGAGTTCTGTGGGTGAGCAGCTCAGAAGGAGCCCCACTTACTCCTCTGCCTGCGGCATCTCCCTTACTCTGGACTTGGATGAACGCTTCTGGCATGATGGGCCCTGTGTGGAGCAGGATGGAGCAGGATCTGCTCCGCTTCGAGGCACAGGAAAAAGTTCAGATATGTCTTATTTTGATATATCAAAATAAAGCACAGTTTACAAGATGTCCTCATCCTCCTGCATTTCTCCTCTTACAAACTCAGGTACAGGCAGCCGACAGCCCTGTGCACACACGGAACCACGGGACAGTTTGGGTTGGAAGGGGCCTTCAAGATCATCTGCTCCCCCCCACCAAGCAGAGCAGGGAGCCCCCGTGCCACGGTGAGAGCCCAGTGAGATGCTTCACAGCAAATCCTGGAGTCTTTTTGGGTGCTGAACCAGAGAATGTTGTGCTGGAGGGGAGCCCTGAGGGTCAGCCTGCCCGTCTCCTGGCCTCCAACAAGTCTTGGACGTCCCCAGATGTTGCTCTGCAGTGCAGACGCTGCTCCCCGCGTGGCATTTACCTGGTTAGGCTGTGCCACCAGGCAGGATGTGTTTCTTAATGCCTGCCCTGAAAACGCCCCTGCCATAATTTCAGCTGCCGAGCCAGGACGGCCCTGACACCTCGTTAGGATTGCAATAGGGTTAGGAGCACAAGGCAGCATGCGAGGGAGGGCTGTCCTTGCTCAGCCGTTGCTTGTCCAGGGAGATTTGGGGAGCAGTTTAAGAGCTCAGAGAGGAGGAGCTGCCACCTGACCGTGCCCCTTTGGGACACCCAAGCAGCTGGTACTGGGGAATGCCACCGGGCTGAGATCATGGCCTGAAATACCCGGAGAAGGGGACAGCAACCAGGCCAGGCCCTGTACGGGCAGCATAACCCCTCCAGCACACAGCAACCCATGGGATCCCTGTGCCCAGCATGGAGCCAGCCCCTCTCTGGGACCAGGCCAGCATACAAAGTGCTAAAAAGAGGGCAAACAAGGCAAAGGGATGGGTTCAGCTGGATCCAGGCAGCAGCGTGGGTGCCAGCCCCGCTCCTCCATCCCCTGGCAGGGGACAGCACAGCTGCCAGGTCCTGGGGACACCGGGCTGGGAGCTTTGCCCAGCCTCATCCCGGGGGCCGCAGCATGGCTTGCCCTTCAGAAGCAAACCCAAAATGCCTTCCAGTCCTCCCTGCTAGGGGAAAACCTCTGAAATCTGAACCCTGAAAGCAAACAGGCAGAGGAATGGGCACGGCTTGTGGCTGCTGAGCTCTTGGCAAGAGCAGGGGCTGTTCTCTGATACCTCGGTGCCCTTCGAGTACTTTGCGGGACGGGCACCCCAGGGGAAGGTGGCACCGGTGGCGGTGACACCAAGGCACCACGGTGGCCCCCACGAGCCACAGTTTGCTCCGAGATGGGGCAGGAGCTGTTCCCACAAGGCTTCTGCAGGTGGCACCAACATTCACCATCCTGACGGGTGGAGGAAAATCGCTGTTTGGGAAGCGGGGCTGGGCGGGCTGCTGGTTTGCAGGGCTGGAGCCCAGCCAGGGCAGCGGCTGTGCTGGCGGTGAGGCCGAGGTGAGTCACGGGGCTGGAAAAGGGCTGGGGTGGTGCTCTCGGCCCCCGGGGGCAGGGTGAAGCCCGTGGGCACGGCGTCCCCTGGGAGCTGGGGTGCCCAGCCGGTTCCAGGTGCGAAGTCACCACAGAAACCACGGTAGGAGTACAACAAAAATAGAGCTTTATTTCAGGACGAGTGCCACCAGAGCCAGGCCACGCTCCTATGGCAGAGCACCCGCGGGTGTGCAGCCGTGGCCGGTGTGCACGCAGCTGGACTGGCGCTCACGTGCTTTGCACGTGCTCTGCCACTGCTCCGTCAGAGGTCGGTGAGCCCTGGAGGAGCGTAACGCCCGCTGGGGACACCGGCACCGCGCCGCCACGCAGCACCACGAGGGTCCGGCGCGCTCTGTCCCTCGTGCAGGGGGCACGAGGAGTGCGTGCACGTGCCCCTCGTGTGCTCCGGGCTTACTCCACCCAGCAGAGCTCAGTAGTGATGCACACACACGTGCACACACACACACACATCTGCTGTGCACGGAGAGGTGCTTGCACATGGAGGCTGTGCACACACACACACGCACAAGGCTCTGCACGTGCACTTGTGCCCCCCGTGGCTGTACACACCGACACACACGTGCCCCATGCACAGAGCCGTGCAGAGAGAGCCACTCACACGTGCAGAGCCTGTGCACACCGGCACACACACGCCTACATGTGTGAGACCTGCTTGCACACACAGAGCCTTTGTGCACCAACACTCATGTGCTCCCTGCACACACGCCAGAGATCCACTCACTCTTGCAGAGCCTTTGCACACCTGCACGCACTTTCCCCACGCACACAGACACCCCCTTGCACACACAGACTCTGCGCACTGCGGCGCACACGTGCACACCCAGAGCTCTGCACACCAGCACTTCGGTCTGCACATGACCGTGCGCACCGGCAGAAATGTGTGCGTGCAGAGCCGTGCACACCAGCACACGCGTGCACAAAGGGCCTGTGCACACCGGCACACACGTACACACACAGAGCTGTGCACACACACGTGCGTACAGTGCTCTGAGCAGCAGCAGGTGTATGCGTGCCCAGTACCATGCACACCAATAGATGTGCACACGGAGCCACGCATACAGCACGCACACACGTGCACCGTGCCACGCACACCAGCACATACGTGTGCACGCAGGGCCATGCCCACCTGCACACACACACAGGGCTGTGCCCAGTGCTCGCCACCGTCCCCATGGCCACTGCAGCCCTACTCGCTCCGGGGGTGGGCACGGCCCGGCCACGCTGCCCAGCGCCGCGCGACGAGCTGCGGCTGGTGGTACATGAACATCCCGGCCAGCGTCAGCCCGATGCCCAGGTAGCTGAGCCCGCTCAGGTGGCTGCCGAAGAGCAGGCGGGAGAGCAGGAGGTTGCCCACCACGGTGAGGTTGCCCAGGAGGTGGATGGTGAGGGCGGAGGTGAGGGAGAGGACGCAGAAGCTGGCCAGGTTGTAGAGGACGGAGCCAAGGCAGCTGAGCAGGACACAGCCCCAGAGGGAGCCGTCGTAGCGCAGGACGCCTTCCCAGGCCGGGGCCACCTCCAGCGCCACGGCCGCCCCAAAAAGGAGCCAGAAGCTGGGCAGGGCGGTGAGGCAGAGCAGGGAGACAGCGTCCAGCCGGTCCTCCTGCAGCAGCAGGCCTGGGGACAGGGGGGGGGACAGTCAGCGGGAGCTCCCCACCCAGTGCTGAAAGAAATCCCGAAAGAAATCCCAAAAATCGTAGCAAAGGGGGATGTGGGGAGCAGCCCCATCTGTGGGGACGGGGGAAAAAGGGGCTGCTCCTGGCCCTGCTGAGGCAGTTCGCAGGGTCCTGGGGTGCCCCCCAGCCCGGGGACCGCAGGGACGTCACAGCACGTGCCCAGCGCTCATCCTGACGCCAGTGCCCGACCCTGCGGTGCCTGCGTGAGTCACAGGCTCCGGCCGCCGCGGCGGAGGAAACGCTCCCTTCCCAGCCGAAAAACAAGTGAGCTCGGGGCCAGACAGCTCCTCTCTGCTGCTGCCAAGGACATCGCGGCCCGGGTGGCCCCGCTGCTCCCACAGCACCCAGGGGCCCCGTGTGGGGACAATGCCACTCAGTGCACAGGGACGATGCCACTCGGCAGGGGGATTTGTAGGGGCTGCGGACCCGGCCACCCCATAGGGAAGGGACAGGGACAGAGGGGAGCAGTGTGTGTGCCTCTGTGCCAGCCAAAGGCACTGCCACCACCCCGCAGTGTCCCTGGAGCTGGCCGGTGTGCCACCGCGGGGACACCAATGTGTTTGCTCCTTGCCAACAAACCAGGGTCACCTCGGGCCAGGATCACGGGACAGCCCCCAGGGCAGGAAGCCAGGGGCTGAGGGTGGCACTGGGGTGGCAGCAGGGACAGTGTGGTGACACTGGGGTGAGCAGACACCTTGGTGTCACCAGGCCAGGGCAGGGGACAGTGACAGGGACATCCCCAGCCCCCGAAGCAGCGGTGACACCGGTATCGAGGGTGGCAGAGGGGACCAGAGCACCCCAATGGTCATGGTGCTGGTGGCACCTCCTGGGCGCAGCACTGCCACCAGCACGGGGACACCCCGGGGGCGCGCGGGCGGCACTTACTCTGCTGCAGCGACTTGAGGGCGCGCAGGACGGTGGCGGCGAGGAGGACGCAGCCGCCGGGCTGGTGGAAGTGGACGCCACCGGCGATGCTGCAGGCGGCCCCGGCGCAGACGGGCCCCATGGCCGCGTACTGCAGCGGGTGGTGCCGGCGGCCCCGCAGCAGCGCCGACAGCAGCAGGGTGGCGAGCGGGGCGGTGGCGTGCACTGCTTGCGCCGCGTCCAGCGGCACCAGGCTCAGCCCCAGGTTGCCCAGGGCCACGCTGCCGCAGAAGGTGAGGCTCAGCAGGTAGATCCTGGCCCGGGGACGGACGGATGGCAGCGGGCCCCGTGCCCACCCCAGCGGGTACCCCAGTGCCACTGCCGCCAGCATGTGCAGGGACGACAGCAGCAGCGGGTAGCGGAAGCCGTGGGCGGCGAAAATCCATTTGTTGAGGCCGGCCAAGGCAGTGCCGGTGCCCAGCCAGGCCAGCACGGTGAGGGCCAGCGGCAGAGGCGGCCCCGACAGCTGCCACCCCGGCTCAGGTCTGCGGGGCTGGAGGGTCCCGCTGGCGGCCGTCATCGCTGCTTCATCACCGCCGGGGCACCGCGGGCACATGGGCACCGCTGCCACGCCGGCCGTGCCGGTGCGTGCGGCGTCCCCGGCTCCTCCCGGCGTCGGCGTTGGCGTCACCTGCCCAGGGTGGGCCCACGGAGGGGTCAGCCGCGGGGTGCCATGTGCAAGCGGCGCCGGCACCAAGGAGAGAGGAAAGTTTGATGGCGGGGAGCGAAGGCGGCGAGGCTCCTCCCCACCGGGCCGCCGCACGTCACCGCGGCCGGCAGTGCGGGCCTGCGGAAAACCGGAGGAGCGGCACGGCGAGCCGGGAACCGAGCCGGGAACCGGCGGCAGCGGCTGCGTGTTCCCCCCCGGAGCCGCCTGCAGCCGGAGGACCGGAGGCGGTGGGAGCACGGGCGGCCTCCATGGTGACGGCGGGGCTGCGTCAGTGTCCCCGGCTGACTCACGCCGGGGCGGGCGCCATCGCTCGCCGGGCCTGGCACGGGCACCGGCATCCCCGCCCAGCGCACCGCCTGCCCTGGCACCGCTCCCCGCCAGCTGCCCCCGCCCTGGTCTCGTTTTAGGAGGGGATTAAATCTCACAGGGTTTCCACGCACGTTTCAGATGGAAATACCCTGGCAGCGGTCCTCGCGTTGGGGCCACCGCGGTCCCCACCGATGCCATTGCCCCCAGCCCCTGGGGTGGGGGGTGATGTTGTCACCCCCAGCTGCTAAAATCAGGAGGTGTGTGGAGGGAACTCTCCCTGCTCGTGCCTTGTCCCGCTGCTCACAGCTTCAGGCTGCCCCACAAGCACCCTCGGGGGCACTGCGCACCCCAAAAACAGGGGCTGTCTGCCACCAGAGCGGGGGACAGCACCGAGGAGCTGCCGGTGCCCAAGCAGGGAGCCCGGGTGCGCCCATCCCACTGACCCCATCCTCACCCTCGCTGGCGCACAGAAAAAGCACAGCACAGCCCGGGGGATGCTGCAGAGTTTCATTGTCATCGCCCCCATCAGTTGGGGCAGCAGCGGGGTCCCCCCCCCCCGCCTACCACTTGCTCAGGCGCAGGATGACGGTCTCCCCGTCCTCCGGTCTGTAGTCGGCAACGCCTGCGAAGAGAGGCAGTGGCCGGGGTGGCGGTGCGGTCAGGAAGACAGAGTCACAACCCCACAACCCCCCCAGGCACTCACTCACCCATCTGCAGGCTGCTGCCGAGGCCGCCCAGCAGCTGCCAGTAGTGCCGCTCCTGCGGCTGCGCTGCCAGGCCCAGCACCGAGGTCAGGAAGGGGCCCTGGGGGGTGTCCTGGGTCTCAAACCTGGGGGGCAGAGGGGAGTGAGGGGCCTCGGGTCTCAAGGGTGCCAAGAGATGCAGCAGGAGGGGACAGGGTGGCAGCCCCCTGCCAGGGTCTGGGTCCCCCCTTGGCACATGGGGGTTACGCACGTGAAATTTTGGGGTCCCTGCGCTGGGGCTGCCCCAAGCAGGTCCAGGAGGGAGGCGCCGGTGGGCACGGGCACCGGGAGGTCGTAGAGCAGGTGCTGGGGGCACTGTGCCACCGGGCACTCCACCACCAGCCGCACCATCATGTTCCCCGGCCCCACGGGCAGCGGATCAATGGCGAGGGGCTTCAGCGTGTCTGTGACAAGGACAGCCACCACGGTGGCATCAGTGCCAGCCCGGTGCCAGCCCCCTTGTCCCCACCTTGTCCCCGGCTCCTACCAGGCTCCTCCTTGCACTGCATGGAGGCGATGTCCAGGTAGCTGCGGCCGTGCAGCACAGGCAGTGCCTGGGCCATGGCCGCGGCGCTGGTGAAGGCGTCCAGGCGCTGCAGCAGTGCGGCCATGGCCCGGCCGTACGCCGCATGCGTCCTGCACTTGTCGGTGGCGATGAAGACCTGGGAGGAGAGGGAGGAAGGGCTCAGGGCAGGGCTCGGGCTCAGAGCGAGGGGAGGAGCAGCTCTGGGCACAGTCCCGTGGGCACGGTGCTGCCGTGGTGCCATAGACCTGCACCCACACCTGCACCCTGCACGTGCCCGCAGGCACCCATGCTCCTGAGCTCGCACATGCACCTGCGCCTGCGCCCACCTGCATGGCCAAGGGGGTGCTGAAGATGTTGCCGATGAGGCCGTTCTCGCTCTGCGCCTCCACAAACCTTGCCCTGATGCCACGCACGGCTACCCGCAGCTCCGCCGCCAGCCTGGACCTGACGAGCTGCTCCCGCTCCAGGCAGGCAAAGGCCAGTGCCACCACTGCCTCCGTGTCTGCGGGGATGCCCCGTGTCACCCTGGGTGCCGCACACCCACCCCGGTGTGTCCTCCTAGGTCCCCAAGGGTCCCACGGCCCCTTACCCACGGCACTGCTGCCTGCGTGCCGGAATCGCCGGTGCTGCTCGGCCACCAGCAGCCGCTGGATCACCTCCTCACGCACCCGCTTGCCGTGGACACACAGCGCCAGCACGCCCAGGCTATACTGGTAGTAACTGGTGAGGGGGTGGCCGTGCCGTCGGGAACCTGGGGAAGGGGCACCACTGTCACCAGGGCCAGCTGGTGGCCCTGCCAGAGCCAGGGATGCCAGCACCCAGCTGGGTGACCACCGGGACCACCCTGCGGGGCCATCCGCACCTGCCCAGTCCTTCTCCAGGTAGTACTTGAGCCACGTCACCAGGAAGCGCTGGGGACTGGGGTCTGGCGGGGGGCAGGAGGCTCGCAGCCCCAGCAGGTACAGTGCCAGCCGCCCCGTCTCCGGCCACTGCGCTGCTGCTCTGGTGTCCCTGCAAGCAGCGGGGTCAGTGTTGGGGAGCAGAGGGACCCACGTTGTCCCCGTCCCCAACCCCACCACCTACTTGCTGTGCTTGGCATTCCGGTGGCGATGACCATGGGACGAGTGGCTGTCCGAATCCAGGCTCCTGCAAGGGATTCAGCACAAATGGGACCAGAAAGGGGGTCAGCGAACGTCCCCTTGTGACACACGGGGGTCTCAGGGGACCTACCGGCCGTAGCGTCCCTGGAAGGCATCCTGCAGGCGCTCCAGGTAGCGCCGCTCGGCGTGCAGGTCGTGGTCCCCGGCGAGGCGCAGACCCACGTAGACACCGGGGTCAGCGTCCAGCCCCGGCTTCTCCGCCAGCCCCAGCAGCCGTGCGCTCAGCACCCTCACCGCCGCCTCCTCCGGTGCCCCTGTCCCCATTGGGGGGACCCCCAAGGCATGAGGATGGCAGCAGCGACAGCTGCGAGCCCCCAACCCATCTCCATCCTTTCCGGGGGACGCAGCGTGGCCATAGGGACACACTCCCCACCGGGACACCCCCACCCCACTGTGCGCCCCCAAAAGTCACCGAAGAGCCGGGAAGGAGGCAAAGCCAAAGGAGATGGGAAAAGGGGGGGCCCAGCCCGGTGCCACCCCCAACCCAACCCGGTGCCACCCGCAACCCAACCTGTGGAAAAGGGGAGGGTCCCCGTGTCCAGCCGGGGGTCCCCGTTTTACTCACGGCAGCCCCGGGCGGGGAGCGCGGCCACCGGCAGCAGGACGAGGAGCAGCCACATCGCGGCGGGGGCCCGGCAGGGCTGCGGGGGGGGGACTTTGCCCGGAGCCGGGTGTGGAGCGGGGCAGGACGCGCAGGGCGACGCGCCCCGGGCAGCGGCAGGCGGGGGGCGGCCGGCACCGGGCGGCACCGGGAGGACACGGGGCGGGGACGGGGACCGAGGGGGCGGAACGGGGCGGGGGGGGGGCGGGAGGAGGGTCCGGGGGGGGTTGTTATCGGTGTCGGTGTCGGTGTCAGTCCCGGTGCCTGTGCTGATGTTGGTCCCGGTGCCACCCCGGTGCCCAGCCCGGAGCAGCCCCGGTGCCGGTGTCAGTCCCGGTGTCAGTCCCGGTGTCACTCCCGGTGTCACTCCCGGTGACGGTGTCGGTTCCGGTGTCAGCCCCGGTGCCTATCCCGGGCACAGTCCCGGTGCCCGTGCTGATGTTGGTCCCGGTGCCACCCCGGTGCCGGTGCCACTCCCGGTGTCACTCCCGGTGTCGGTCCCGGTGTCACTCCCGGTGCCACCCCAGCCCCAGCCCCATCCCGGCCGTGCCCCAGTGCCCCCCCGGTGTCCCCCCGGGTGCCCCCCCGGTTCCCAACCCATCCCCACCCCCATCCCCATCCCGCCCCACCCCCGCTGCCCGCCCCTCCCCATTTCCCCCGCCCCTTTCCCCTCCTCCCCCCGGGCTGCCCGTGCCGTGCCTGCCCCGAGCCGTTCCCCCCGGAGCCCCCCGAGCCCCCCGGACCCCCCCCAGCCCCTCACAACCCCCTTGCACCCCGCACCCCCCCCCCCCGTACCCCGCATCCCGCGGCCGGGCCGGGGGCGCAGCGGCCCCGCACAGGCAGGGGGGGGGCAGCCCGGGGCTTGCGGAGCGGCGGCACCACGAGGGAGGCGGCGGAGCCATGGGGGGGCTGGAGAAGAGAAAGGTACCGGGGGGGGGACAGGGGACAGGACCGGGACCGGGACCGGGACCGGGACGGGACGGGACGGGACGCACCGGGGGCTGGTCCCGGTCCCGGTCCCGGTCCCGGTCCCGGGGCTCCCCCGGACCCGATCCCGGTCCCGGTCTCCGTCCCCGGTTCGCCCCCCCCGGCTTCGGTTCCCCCTTATTTCCCATAGAGCCCCCCTACCTCGGTCCGGTCCCCGGTTACCCCTAGGTTCCTTTCTTCATCCTGCCCCGGTTCCCCGGGCTCCCCCCCCCCTTTTCCCCCGGTTCTCCCCTTTTCCCCCCTGCCTCCACCCCCCCCGGTTCCCCCCCACTCCCCCCAGTTCCCCCCCACCCCCCCGGTTCCCCCTCATCCCCCCGTTTCCCCCCCTTTTCCCCCTTTCTCCATCCCCACCCCCATTTCCCAGCCATGTCCCGGTGCCCCCCTCCCATGACACTGCTGTGACATCTTTCTTCTCCCCCCCCCCCCCAGTACGAGCGGGGCTCGGCCACCAACTACATCACCCGCAACAGGGCGCGGAAGAAGCTGCAGCTCAGCCTGGCCGACTTCAGGTGCGTGGTGCGGGGCCGGGGGGGGCTCTGGCTGTGGGTTAAACCAAGCTGGGACCTGGCTTCACAGCCCCTGATCCCCCCCCCGCAGGCGCCTCTGCATCCTGAAGGGGATCTACCCGCACGAGCCCAGGCACAAGAAGAAGGTGAACAAGGGCTCCACGGCCCCCAGGACCTTCTATCTCCTCAAGGACATCAAGTTTCTCCTCCACGAGCCCATCGTCAATAAGTTTCGGGAGTACAAGGTGCCTGCCCTGCCCGAGGGCCCTTTTGGGAGGGGGGGTACGTGGTGTTTTGGCCCCCCTTCCCGGTGCTCAGCTCCCCCTCTTTGCCCGCAGATCTTCGTCCGCAAGCTGCGGAAGGCGTACGGGAAGAGCGAGTGGGGCACGGCGGAGCGGCTGAAGGACAACAAGCCCAGCTACAAGCTCGACCACATCGTGAAGGAGAGGTGAGCCCGGCTCACTGGGGGGGGATTTTCCTCAGCAGAAATCAACTGAGGGCACCCCAAGGTGGCTGTGAGAGCCCGTTCCCTTTCTCAAGCGAGGTCTCCGCCACTTGGTGCAGTCCCGGCTGGTTTCTGGTGGCTTTGGGGCTGGCTGTGATGCCACTTTCCCCCTCCTGCCCGGCCGCAGGTACCCAACCTTTGTAGATGCGCTGCGGGACCTGGACGATGCCCTCTCCATGTGCTTCCTCTTCTCCACTTTCCCCCGCACGGGCAAGTGCCACGTTCAGACCATCCAGCTCTGTCGGCGCCTGGCCGTCGAGTTCCTCAACTACGTCGTGGCGTCCCGCTCCCTGCGCAAGGTGGGTTCCCCAGCGAGGGATGAGTCCTGCAGGGCTGTCCCCGATGCTTCCTCACACCCCCCTGCTGCCCCGGGGAAGGCTGATGAGAAGCAGGGGACACCCCTGGCCTTCATCCCTTGCTCTGCTCCCTGCCAGGTCTTCCTCTCCATCAAGGGCATCTACTACCAGGCGGAGGTGCTGGGGCAGCCCGTCACCTGGATCACCCCTTACGCTTTCGCCCACGATGTGAGTACTGGGGCACAGCAGGACCTGTGCTGCTGCTGCTGCTTTGCTGTTTCCTTCCCTGGGGCTGGGGAAGGGTGGCAGGGACATCTCCTCCCTCTACATCTCCTCCTTCTCGTGCTAGGGGGACAAATCGGGCAGTGCCTGTGGTGGAATCCACGAGGTTTGGTTTGGCAGCCCTATGGGGACGTAGCCCCTTTCCATCAGGGATGGCAGTGACCGTGGCCATGGTGCCTGGCCATACCGGTCTCCCAAGCTGTTACACTCCTCCTTTTATCAATTATTTTACCCTTATTAAAGATTAGCTGGTAGTTACCTCATCTGGAGGTGCCAAAGCACGTCGGACCCCGCGCCCTCTTTGCCAGGGCGGCGAGGCAGCATGCTCATGGCACAGTCATCCCAGAGGGGCTCTGCGGGAGCTGAGGGTGATGCAGCCCAAAGAGCTGTCCCTGTCCAGTGTCTGGAGGTGGGCAGAAATCTCTAGACCTGGCTGTGAAGAGGGCAGGACCTTCCTCCATCTGCAGATGGGGCCAGAGTGGGGGCGAGTGAGCAGCGCAGCAGCTTCGTGCCCCAAGCTGGTGCTGGAAGACCGGGGCCCTGCACCTGATGAGGGGATCCGGTCCTTCATCCTCATTTTCTCACCTTCCCTGCCTGCCCGCAGCACCCCACGGATGTGGATTACCGCGTGATGGCCACCTTCACCGAGTTCTACACCACCTTGCTGGGCTTCGTCAACTTTCGCCTCTACCACTCGCTCAACCTGCATTATCCACCCAAGGTGAGGCTGCTGCCTGCCCCGGGGGCACCAGGCTGGTGGCAGCACTTGCCGCAGGGAGCAGAGCCCCGGCAGGACCTGTGTGGGTGGTGGAAGGGCTGGAGCAGAGGATGTTTGGGCTCTCCAGGCCTGGGAGCTGTCTCCCCATCTTTGTTTCTCCTCAGATCGATGGCCAGGCGGAGGTGGAATTAAAGCCTGCAGAGGGCAAGGAGTACGCCATGGATTCGGAGAGCTACCTGGAGGTGAGGGACGCTGCTGCCACCAGGGTCAGCGTTAGGACCTGTGTGGCCTTGGTGTTCACGTTGACCCCTCCTGGTGTGGAGAACTCGTGGTGCAGGGACTGAGGAGCAGAGCCTGATCGCCCCTTTGGGCTGGCCGGAGGAGGCAATCGGTGCCTGCCCTCGGGGGATTTCCTCTGCGAGCCTGCCTCTTACGTCTTCTCGGTCTCCTGCTGCAGAAACTGTCGGCTCTGAGCGCCAGCCTGGTGCGCGTGGTGGCACCAGCCCAGGAGGACGAGGTGGAGATGGATGAGTTCCCTGTGGAGGGGGTAAGAGCCTGGCGGGGTGGCTCTGCAGCATGTCTCATGGCTGGGCGAAGGCTGGGGCTGTGCAGTGTGGGAGTGGGGGGACAGGCAGGAGGATGGGGGCAGCACCCAGGAGCCCCCCATGCGGTGAGGGGCTTGGCAGGGAAGAAGCTGAATGCTTTGCTCTGAGCAGGAGACCGCTGAGCAGATGGACGCGAGGAGGAAGGAGCAAGAGGCCCTGGAGAAACACAAAAAGCTGTTTGAAGGGCTGCGCTTCTTCCTCAACAGGGAGGTTCCTCGGGAGCCGCTGGCCTTCATCATCCGGTACTTCCTTCATCAGCAGCCCGACCTTCCCCGTTCCCTTCCAGTGGGACTGCTGAGGCCGATCTGCCTCGTGTCCCACGGGTGAGGTGACCCTGAGGGGCCTCTCCGGTGTGACCGCTCGGTGTATTTGGCTGGCAGGTGCTTTGGTGGCCAAGTGTCCTGGGACAAATCCATGTGCATCGGTGCCACCTACGACGTGAGCGACCCCTCCATCACACACCAGATTGTCGACAGACCCCGGGTGGAGCAGCAGGTTGTGGGCAGGTGAGGCAAGTCACTTGTCCCCAGCGTGGCCACCAGGGCTAATGGCTGTCCCGAGCTGTCCCACGCTCTTGTCTCCTCACATCCTGCTCTGCTGCAGTCCTGCAGCCCCCTGGGCTCCAGAGCCTGGGGCAGGAGGACGCGTTCTGACCCCCGGCTCTGTCCCGCAGGTATTACCTGCAGCCTCAGTGGGTTTTTGACTCGGTCAATGCGAAGCTGTGCCTCCCTGTAGCTGATTATTTCCCTGGTGTGTTGCTGCCCCCACACCTCTCGCCCTTCGTGACGGAGCAGGAGGGAGACTACATCCCTCCGGAGAAGCTGAAACTGCTGGCCATGCAGCGGGGCGAGGACCCAGGTGATGCTCAGCTCCTGGGGCTGAAGAGGAGGGGAACCAGGCAGCGCTGCTGCTTGGGCAGAGCTCTGCAGTGTCAGCGCGCTCCCAGCTGATAGCAGTGGTTTCTCTGTAGGTGAAGAGAGTGAGGAGGACGAGGAGGAAGAGGAGGAGGAGGAGGATGACAACGATAACGAAGAGGAGGAGGAAGAGGAAGAGTCTGAAAAGGAAGAGGAGATGAAATTGAAGAAGATGGAAGAGCAGAAGACTCAGAGCAACAAGGTGAGGTGCCTGGCAGCGGGACGGGAGCTCCAGGAGAGGGCAGCCTTTGTGAGTGCCCTCCCTGCCAGGGCTCAGCTCGCTGCAGCGTGTCCCAGCCAAGTCCCTGCTCTGGGACTGCTGTGGCCGAGCTGCTCCTGCAGCAGCCCCTGGGTCCTGAGCCCTTGCTAATGGGCTGTAGCTCCTGCTCACACTCAGCACCTGCTGAGTGGAAATCCTAGAATGGCTTCTGTTGGAAGGGATCTTAAAAACATCCAGTTTCAGCTCCCCTGCCAAGGGCGGCGATGCCACCAACCAGACCAGGCTGCCCAGGGCCACGTCCAACTTGGCCTTGACCAACTGCAGGGATGGGGCATCCTCAGCTTCTCTGGGCAACCTGTGCCAGTGCCCCTCCGCCCTGTGAGGGAAGAGTTTCCTCCTAACCTCTAATCTAAATCTTCTCTGAATTTAGAACCCTTTCCCCTTGTCCTATCACTGTCTGCCTGTGTAAAAAGTATTTTTTATATTTTTTTTTAAGCTCCCTTTAAGTTCTGAAAGGCCACAATGAGGTCTCCCTGGA